ATGCCAAAAAGACACAGAATCATCAAAATGGAGTTTTTATTGTAATGTGTTTAACCTACCGTGATATTTGAAGTTGTAACTTTTACATTATTTGGATCACATTATAATAATATTATCCTGATGTCATTCTCACTAAGTGGGAAACTTTAATGAAGTAGGTACAATGTGTGACAAAAGCTGACGCCAACTAGTTAACTATGTTATTATATAAAGTTAATAATAAGTAACTATGGGAAAGCCAAGCTTCGACACGAATGAGTCGGCTCGGCTGAAGTGTATGTAAGTATCACTGCAGACACTCACAGAAAACCGGCGTGAAACAACCATAGCATTGTGTTTCGCCATGTGAGTGAGGTTACTGAAGGTCGAATTCTTCCCCTAACGCCGTCCCTCTCCAATCCCTAAATTTCCGAAAACCTAATCGTCAAACCGAGTGTTGAAGCTGTCCATGGGCGGCGCCGATTGCTTACCATTAAGCAATCTGCCTGCTCGCTTAAGGGATTACTAACGTGTATTATTTTACTCCAAAAATCGTTTTTTGGCGATAATAATACCCGTCTTAACATGGAGATAATCTAACCTACCTTAATTAATAGTAACTAGCATTAACATTTTAATATTACACAGAAAGTTACAAAACCTTCTGCAGATTTAGATAGTAGATTAAACTTTCCTAACGACTGTACCTCGCCTGCTGGGTAAGTGACCGTAAAATTGGATTCAGCCATAATAATTACCGTTATGATCATTTTATACAGTCAGTATTCAGTTTGAGAACTTTGCATCGTTTTAATTTACACTTTTAATGATTTTGAACAGAAAATTTGTGAGAGAGCCATGTTTCGGCACGAATGGGCCGGCTCGACCGGAGTAGCAGCCACAGCAGCATAGAAAACCGACGTGAACCAACGTTATGTTTCGCCGTGTGCCTTCCCCTATCCCCATCCCTCTCTAATACCTAATTCTCCAAAATCCTCATATCGAAAAGGGCTGCAATGCACTTGTAGTAACTCCTTTGGCATTGCGAGTGTTCATGAGCGGCGCTGATTCCTTCTTACCATCGGGTAATACGGCCGTTATTTGCCAACTTATTACATAAAAAAGAGAATCTAGCAGCTAAAGGGAAACATTAATATCTTTTGGCAGCACTAATTTACTTTCTATGACATATTCCATATTCATAATCCCGACGTTTTGACACTGAGTAATGGATTTCCGCGCTCACAGAAATCCCGGGGTCCCGGAACTGTCGTCACATCACTATGAACCCGAGTGGTCACTCGAGACACATTTTAACAGTCTTATAGAGTAATAAACATCACTATAATTATTTTTAGTATCAAAACTTTATTTTCTTTATAGCTTTTAAAAGTTGTGGTTTCGTGGGAAACGTGTTGACTTCAATAAATTTTATATTACTTACTTTTATGAAATAAACTTGCACATTTTGCGAGTTAGACTAGACCACTTGAATCTGTCTGATGCATTTTAAAGGAACTGTTGGGATTTGACGACGGAAGAAATTATCCTCTTAGCCGGGGTTGAGGGGTAAGCGCAATGAGGCACCGTGATCTCAGCCTAGAACAGGGAAAGGAACAGGAGAGTTTTTAGTCAGTAAGAGTCTGACACTTCCTCTCACCTCGCCCTGGGAGGGAGAAGTAATTTGATGAATATCTCCTTACAAAAAAAGCGTATGAACCTCTGCAAATATATAATAGGTATATTTAAACTGGACGGATTGATACTACGGCCTTAAAAGATGCCAGTTTGAAACAATGCTTGTGTCGTTTTGTGAGTGAGGTTACCGACAGCTCAGTAAAACCCTGGAAGAGAGAAGTAATTTGATGATTTCCCCCCCTCAAAAAGGGACGTGTGTGTCCTAACAAAATATAAATACATTAAAACACAACATAAGCAAAAGATACCAGGTGTTCATAAAGCTGAAGTGGTACTCAAATGATACTTAATTTTATTTATAGGTAGTCAATAAAAGGTTGGGAATGTGCAGTAAACGTTTATGAGGCGGAACAGGAGTCGCGATGTATGCACCTATTTTATGTGATCCTGGCACCAATGTGTTAAGTTATTGGTATTTAAAGCATCATGATATTGTGTGCGATGGATTTTATGACTGTTTTGTGGTGGGCAATGTTATTGTGTAGTTTGCTTATCATTATTTTTTATATTGCTTAAATAATAGAAGAAATGCAAGGACCAAAACCTGTCTACTAAAATAAGAGGAAGGATATCATGTCCCTGTTATACATGTGGATATAAATCAAATAAAAAATATTGTCCTCAAGATTTTGGTCTGAAATGTAGCGGAGAAACATCCATATGCAAGTTTTCGAACTTGATTGTCCAAAGTCAAAAGATGTAGACTTCAATGGAGAAGAACGAGTAAGTAACTTTCTGGTTGCACTTTTTTAAGTTTCATATTCGTCATCATCAGCCTTTTTTTTAACGTGTGGAAATCCTCATGGATGCCCTTTGTCTAGACAAGAGCGTCAGACAGGAGGTTATGTCGGGTTCTTACCGACTCAAACCACACACTCGATCCCAGAAAACAATGAGAGGGTCACTGGGTACTCGAATGAACGAACTCACCTGCGATTGTCATCATCAGCCTATTAGCGTTCAGATTTCCTCACGAAGTTTTCCTTCACAGTATGTAAGTGGTACCTTTTCTTTTGTAAAAGAAAAATCATCAAATGACTTTCTCCCGTTCAGGGTCGAACGGGATGGAGTGTCAGACTCTTACTTACTAAAAACTCTCCGTTCTTTCTCCTGCTCTGGGCCGTGAGCCGTGCCTCATTCCACTTGCCCCGCAACTCCGGCTGAACATAAACCCTATAGGGCCCCGTCTGTGGTGGTCTATTGGCTCTTTGAGGCGTGCCCGGGGAACGCTGCGCGCCGTACCCTCGGTGTCTAAATAATCTTCGAAACTATATGTACATGTAACTCGGAAATACTCATTTCAGTAGGTATAACTGACAGGTTCCGAATCCACACCCACGCAACGACAGTCAGTTAGTTCACGAACGAATCAATGTCAAGATTACAAAGCGAACCACTAAATACAAACAACTCAACAAACGAATAAGTCGTATCAATATGTTTCAATCTATACTAATATTATAAAGAGGTAAAATTTGTAAGTTAGCAAGTTTGTATGTATGGGGTAATCTTTGGAACCGCTATTTGGATTGCCAAAATTCTTTCACTTTCTCACATAGATAGCTACGCTACAGGCTACAGGCTATAAAACATCACGGAACGATAAAATGGAGCTGAGCAGCGGGTGAAACCGCGCGGGAGTAGCTAGTTATGTATATCTTAATTGCGATCAAACGATACAAACTTCCAAAGATCACCACCAATTCCCTGATCAAACATTATAGGTACCAGATATAGAGGAAGAGAAGAGAGGAATAATATTAAATTAGTTTCAAAGATCAAAGGGTCTATTCGAGTGAGTAATAAAACTTTTTGCTGGTAATACCCCCATGGTTCCTCATAGAGATAATACGAAAACTTCACAGTACCTAACGTATATGAACTCTTTTCTATTTAGGTTGACACAAACTACGATTTTTTTCTGTGTCATGGGTACGTTTTCAAACATACTTATATTCACATAATGGTACAAATTGAGGTGAGATCGTGATATACAACACACCCAGACCTGGATCAATAACTTCACAGAAAGGTCCCGTGCGGGAATCGAATCCTTGCTTGATAGCAGGTCAAAAGGACTACCAGGTCAGGGGACTAGGATTATGAAGATATCTGTTTAACCTTTACTTGGTATGTAAAGTGCAACTAAAAATAAAACAAAATATAATTTTAAAATATTTATTCAAGAAAATCTTTGTACATTTTTTGTAATAAATTATTAATTTTAAATAATAATTCTATGTTTAAACATAATAAGCAATGTAATAAATAAATGAGCAATAATTTATTTGAAAAAATACCTTAGATAAACAGTCTTAAAATCTAAAATAAATAAATGCATTATCAGACAGTGCCAATCTTATAAAATAAAAACCTTAAAATTACAAAGTAATATTTAATAAATAAATATATAAAACATTTATTTTACCCACACAAAAAAAGAAACAAAAATGATCGTTGAGCTAAAATAAAATAATTTAATCTGATTTAATGTTTCATAACACCATAATTCTCCGATCGGCGATATTAACACGTTCTGCGTGGCGAATATTGAATAATTAAAATCTATGTATTAACAAAAATTAATGTGAATTCATGGATGAAAATCATTTTATACATACCTGGAAATGTGATAGCAAAATAACAGTCTTTACATTGATAGCTTTATTGTCAATGATTGAGCGATCGACATTCACGTTTAATGTTTTAAAATATCAAATTACATTATCGCTTTACTTTATTCGGATTGGAAAATTCATAAAGCAATTGAAATATATTACATAGGAGAACTATTTATGTAAAAATATTACTGTAAATGGATTGAGATGTGGCCGCCGAAGGATTTTAGTTTATTTTATAGACATAGCTTTAAGGCGATAAAGATTATTTTTGTATACCTACTTTGCCAATGGTAAATATAAAACAGCTACTTCCGAGGGTTTTCGTCTGCGCTGATTAGCTCCTGTTGATCGTAGCATGATGTTTTATAGCTTAAAGCTTTGCTGGATAAATTATATCTATCCAAAACAAAAAATATTATTCAATTTCAATCTGAACCTTCGGATATAGCGGTAGCATAAATTATGTGGTTTAGCCAAATCATTTATTTTGACCGCAAGACATAATTTATGATAAAAGAAACGATGCAGTATATGTATAAACAACTCAACAAACAATTTTCGTACGAAAACAGACACCAATCAAAACAAAAATCCCAAAACAAAATGAAAAAAAAAACTCTTAAATTAATTAAAATAAATAAAATCTACTAATAAATTACACCATAAGGTACCACTTATAACTACGTTTAAACTACATGGCTTTTATGCGACTGCACCGGGCGCAGTGATGTAAGTCGGGGACGGTGTAGGCCTGTGTTTCATCAAGTTGTACGCCCTGTTTGAGGCCCAATCCTTCCCGTACCCTCCACTGGCTGAATAAGCGTAATTATTGTTGTAATCTGCGGAGTAGTCGCTTGAATCACTGCTTCCGAAATAGGAGTAGGACATCGGATGATGATGCTGTGAAAGAAAAAAAAAGAAATGTTCTATGATTTTTGCAATATACAGATCTGTTTGTTAGACTGGTGTTTGATTGGTGGTCTTTATAAATATTAATAACATCATCATCAGCTTATAAGTGCCCACTGCTGAGCAAATGCCTCTTCTTACACGGAGAAGATTTGAGCATTAATCACCACGCTTACTCAAAGTGGTTTCGTGTTTCGCAATTTCAAACTTATTGTTAGAAATTATATAACTCCAGATTTCCTCTTGATGTTTTCTTTAAAACTGTAGGTCAGTGGTGTCTAAATTATCTTAGAAAGAACATATAACTTGGAAAAGTCACATTGGTTCTTGCCAGAGAACTATCATACTTACAAACATTAACGGTTATATAACATTATTAGAATTTAGAATTGAATAATGAGAATTTACAATTATATAATAAAATACATTTCTTTAAAATTCCTATTTAAAATTATAAGCGTGATTGAAATTAATTAATTTGAATTGTGTACATTATTTAAATAACGAATCCCTAGTTCTAATAGGTAGGTATTTAAATGATTTTTGCCATTTCAAACCACGCGTGGTCAGATTAACACATTATTTTAACTATGCGAATAATTTAAGCTGCGTTTATACGAGCATAGACTGGCTTATTATAGATCACAATCAAATATAATGATCAAATTATTTTAAAATTTATTTTATGGTATCTGTTAAACAACATTGTAGCTTAACATTTAACGATTTTTATAATAACTATCGTGAGATAACTAAATTAACTAAAAATCGCGGGTTACTCACGTGTAAATATTGAGAAAAGCTCTACTAGTTTCGAACCACAGAGGGGTTCTTCCTCATGAGCCGCGTCCGCGCACGCTGCGAAACTAGTAGAGCTTTTCTCAATATTTACACGTGAGTAACCCGCGATTTTTAGTTAATTTAACGATTTGTTGATAAAAATACAATTCTAAAGCAAGAATGGGCTGGATCGACCATAGTGACATCAGACAGTGTGGGATAACTATGCTTCGGCATGAATAGATCGACCGGAGCGATACCACGGCCTCATAGAAAACTGACATGAAGCAACAGTTACATTGTATTTCGCCATGTGAGTGAGGTTACCCGAGGTCCAATTCTTCCCGCCTCCCTCCAACCTCATTCCCTAATCAATTAAATCCCTAATAACCCACAAGAGGCCGGCATGCAGTGAGTCCTTTGGTACTACGAGTATCCATGGTGGGCGCTGATTGCTTACCATCAGGTAATCCGTGTGCTCGTTTGCAAAACTAAGACATAAAAAAAATAACGACCTCATAGAAAAATTCAAATTATGCCTGTGTTTTGTTTCACAGTGTGGACGAGGTTATGTGAAGCCCTTGTCCCATCCATCCCTGATCTCCACATAATTAATAACTCAAATCCCTTAAGTTAGGGATGGACTTGTAACTTCTAAATATAATCGTGTTGACCATGGCTTACCATCAGGTAGTTAGGTCTGTACGTTTGGAGCCCTAATGCATGAAATCAGGCAAGGTTTCAAAGAATTCCTCCATATTGCTTTAATAGGGATATGTTGTCAGAAGTTAATATTCAATTACGTCAATACTGTTGTGTATTACAGTAATTTTATTATAGTTATCAGACCAAACTAAACAAGATTAAACATACCGGTTGGATACCATATTATTTCAGTACGGTAAGTAAGTCTTTTTTTTTTTTTTAAAAAAAAACGTTGCCCCACTCTATGATTTTCTCCTGTCGTAGATTGTTCTGTCGTGGGTGCGGTTATAAACATTATAATATCACTTACACCAATCACCCAGACTACAATCCTTCCCCTCCCCCAATCCCTACTCAATCCCTAAATCTCCAAATCCCTAATCCCTAAAAGGTCGGCAACGCTCCTCCGTTGCGGGTGTCCATGGGCGGCGCTGATTGCTTACCATCAGATAATTCGTCTGTTCGATTGCCGACCTATTAAATAAAAAAACTATTTATAGATCACACAAAGAGTTGTTCCGTGCGGAAATCGAACCCGCAACACGTTGCGCAGTCATTGTGCGGATCACCTGGAGGACACGGTGGAGCATACGGTGGCGGAGTGCCCTGCTTGGGCTGAGCACCGCCGTGTTCTCAGGGAAGTGATCGGCGGCGGCGACCTTTCGCGCCCGGCCTTAATCGAGGCCATGGTGCAGCGTGAGAGGAACTGGGAAGCTATCTCCTCCTTCTGCGAAGCAGTTATGCTCGCAAAGGAGGAGGCGGAGCGCGTGAGGGAACTATCCTCCTCGCGCCCCAGCCGCCGCAGAAGGCGACATTCCGGACGTCGGGGATCGAGAGATGATCTCCGGCCACCGTAAGCGCGGGTCTGCGGACGGCGAGTAAGGGTAGCTCGCCGCCCGACCAGAACCGGACCCAAGCGTACGGCGCGTAGCGTTCCGCGCGCGCCTCAAAGAGCCAATAGACCACCACAGTCGGGGCCCTAAAGGGCTGATGTTTAGCCGGGGCTGCGGGGTAAGCGCAATGAGGCACCGCGACCTCGGCCCAGAGCAGGAGAAGGAACGGGGGGGTTTTTAGTCAGTAAGAGTCTGACACTCTCTCTCGCCTTACCCTGGGCGGGAGAAGTCATTGGATGATTTTCCCCTGACAAAAAAAAAAAAAAAAAAAAGACACGTTGCGCAGCAGCCAGTTGCCCAGCCACTGCACTAACCTGTTGTATTGTCTTAAATATAGAAAATAAATAAGTTAAAGATATCTTTTATGTACCTAATTATTAACAATGTTATAAATAACAATTGTAAAACATAAGAGCGCCACTATCGCCAACAAACTGTCTTACAGTTTGGCGATTTTTGATGTAAAGTTAATAATGTAAAACTATTTTGTGAATAAATAAAAAAAAATCGTGCAGTCAAGTATAATATAATTTCAGTACTGTCAATAACGATGCTACGAATTGTAAGAATTAGTGCTGCATAGTTTTAAACAAAGGCGGATTTCCCAGCCTATTGGACGGGATTGATTGGAATTGTTGAAACAAAGGATAAACGACATTTCTACGCACTACCTATAATTCTGTGGTCGAGCCAGTGAAGCTCACAAGCTCACAGCACAATTGGGTAGTTTCCTAGGTCAAAAATAAATTGATTTGACTTTGCATTATTAAAACACAACCATACCCACTTTCATTAATGATTGAACGAGATCATTACTTAATTTTAGATTGCTAGTTAACTTTAAAAAAGAAGTAGGTATGTATGTTGTATATAGATATAGATAGTAGACAGATATATATTATGTTGTTTGACGTAAAAACATTATTCATTTTTATTTTATTTATGACGTCATACATATCTTGCGATCTCATTCAAAATACGAAAAAGTTATCGAATATACCATTCCAGTAAAAGCATTGATTTTTTACGAGTTGGAAATTACCGAATAGTGCGTTGCATTGAGTAAAATGGTAGGCGCTTGACTTTTCTTTTTCTCTCTTTCTTTCGTAAGTCATATAGCCGATACTATATAAAAAAAATATAGGCTAAATCCCTATTACAAATAAAATAAGGAAATTCCAAAGATTTTCAAGATAAAAATTTTGTATGACAACCTGTCACACGTAAATGATCTCTACCTTCTGGTTAAATAAGAGTCATGGTATAATTACACTTAGTATATGGCTTCGCTAGCATCACGATAAAATATAGCATACATATGTATTAATTTTCAAATTATAATCTATCGCTGTGCTAAATTTCATTTAGATTCATTCAGTAGTTTTTGCGTGAAAGATCCATCCGTGCTAACAAACTTTCGCGTTTAAAATATTTGATAATTAGTAGGATACATTAGTAAGTACATATTGTGTGGGAGAGCCAAGCTTCGGCACGAATGGGTCGTCTAACCCGGAGTTATACCACGGCCTCACAGAAAACCGGCGTGAAGAAACACTTACGTTGTGTTTCGCCGTGTGAGTGAGGTTACCGGAGGCTCAGTCTTTCCCCTACCCCATCCTCAATCTCCAAATCCCCTATCCTTAAATCCCTAATAACTTACAAGAGGCCGGCAACGCACTGACTCAACTAAATCAACTCAACGGTCAACTCGAGACTGTCTAAAGTTGCTGTCCTTGAGGTTCATTTCTTTTTCGGATCCTTTGGTTAAACATTAGTGTTACACTGTTCTCACATAATGGAACTATCTGAATTATGTAACAATGCATTGCCAAAAGTGATTAAAAAAGAGTAACCATAGAGTTTCTTGCTCGTTCTTCTCCATAGGAATCTACACTGGAACGAGCAAATAGCTTCACTAGAGGACAGAAGGACAGACTGACACATATAAAGTTAAACCTATGATATCTGTTTTGCTTAACATTCAAAAGTGCCTGTTGTTAACTAAAAATCGCGGGTTACTCACGTTTGAGAAAAGCTCTACTAGTTTCGAACCACAGAGGGGTTCTTCCACATGAGCAGCGTGCGCGGCGAAGTCGTGCAGTCATTGACGCGCTTTTCTCAATTACAAACGTGAGTAACCCGCGATGTTTTAGTTAATTTAGTATGTCTCACGTTAGTTATTATAAAAACAGTGCCTGTTGTGGTCTAGTTGAAATAAAGAATTTGATTTGATTGATTCAGTAACTCCTTTGGTAAAACGAGTGAGTCTCATCAGCTAATCCAACAAAAAATCATAGTCACTTGTTCCTAATTAATAAGTATTGCACAATGCATATAAATTAGTCACTATTCATTTAAAACATGGAATCCATTGCTTATCTGTCTACCATCAAGTGCTAGGTTTCATATGTAATGAATGTTATGACATACTAGTATAGATATGACGTTTCTTTTGCATATTTTTATTTAATTATTTCTAGCGACCCGCCCCTATTTCGAACCAGTATCAAAATAGTTTTTACTTTACACAAATTTTTAACCGACTTCCAAAAAAGGAGGAGGTTATCAATTCGACCGTATATATGCTTTTTTTTTTATGTTTGTTCGCCGATA